CTGCAATATAACAAAGAGTGAAAAATTTAAGGGGGTCTGAATACTTTCCGTACCCACTGTATATAATATGCACACACACCATACATGAACATATGACAATTTCATGCATAATTACTTGCATAATTACTTTTGATTTATGTAGTAATGAGACATTATGCATGTAATTTAAATGAAATTGTAGTATAATGTAATGCAAAGAAATCTTAATTCTCCTGAAAATAGACTTCATTTTCTTTAAGGGGAAAATCTTCATCACCAAAATGAAAGAAAAAAAAAGAAATTAATATTTTTCATAAAAGTGTCTGTCAAATGCATAAATGTAGGTTTATGATACTGGCAATCATGACTTATCTGCCTTAAAAAAAATTAATGGTCATCAAACCTCAATTTAGTTTTCACACACCTTCTCTATTTTGCCTGAAGAAACATAGTTTCATAGTTTGCATGTGTGGTTTGAATGTGACTATATGTTACCTAAGAGGACATAAGAGGTCATTTAGGGAGTAAGACAAGATCTCTTGAATATTTCTCAACTTGTTAAGTGAGTTTGTAACGTGGGCCCCTCCCGCGAGCGCTGCATGGTGAAAGTGGATTGTTTCTGAGTCACTTTCAAGAGCTTAGTTATGTGAGGCCAGTGATACTGTCCACTCAAGTGCTGCTTTTTGTTGTCTGATCTGCGCAGCTGTGACTTATTTCACAACAAATATGAATGAAATGTCAGCAGCTGCTGGGATGCGTTATGTAACTGAGGTGTGCATGAACGGCCTGAGGTTTCCAGCTCAAACCGGCCAGCGCTGAACCACTTCTGGCCTTATTCTGATTTCTGTCACATTTCAGCACAGAAAAGTCCAGCAGTGAGCGTTACTGCAGGACTGAATGCTAAAAGACCTTGAAGAGCTGGAGAGGTGTGTAAAGGATTGGGAAATCAGTTACTCCCACATGCACAAGTACATGCACTTGTCTTTAAGTAGGTAATTTCTTTGACTATCCGGCAATTTTGAGTCATCCAGAGAATCAAATGTCCTGGTTTTCTTCCACAAACCCCTCCAAATTACTACTGTTTTTACTTTTTACTACCCCATTTTCAGGACCATTAAGATGTTTTTGCATTGACATGTCAATTAATGTTTTAATTACTGAAATCTATTTTTTAAGTATATTTAATACGTTATGTTTTATTTTTCTGCATTGCAGTGATAAGGATTTTCCTTGTAAATATTGAAATGAATTTAAAAAATATTTTTTGCAGTAAAACAAATGCCCATTTTTAGGAGCATTAATATTATTTTGCATTGTGACTTTTTTTCATAACATGACTTATTTAGAAATTTAGGGGGGAAACAGTAGATGATGCATATTAGTGTTATGTATACATGTATATTAGTGTTATTAGAGTAGTATTTATATACTTCTCTATAGTTTTTAAAAAACTAAAATATTTTTTTGATTTATTTTTACGTCCATTTTGTTTATTTATTTATTTCCAGTTAATAATTGTAGTGTTTCAACTTAAATATCGTACAGTTAGTTGGAAAGGCAATGTTTTAATATTAATATTTTATTTGATTAAGTTTTCATTAAAAAACATTATTTTTTTAGGATTATTTTTAGGTCTATTTTGCTTTTTATTTTGTATTTTTTCAAGTTTTCATTTTTTTTTAAAGGTTACTTTTTAGGTTTATTTTTATGTCCATTTTGGTTTTTTATTTATTTAAGTAAATTGCCAAGGCAACATTTCTAAGTTTTAATATTTATGTTATTTGATTTTAATTTTGACAAGTTAATTTTTACATTTATTTTTAGGTCCATTTTAGTTTTTATTTATTTCCAGTTAATAATTTTAGTGCTTTAACCAAAACTTCTTTCAATTAGTCGCCAAGGCAACATTTCTAAGTTGTAATATTGATTTTATTTTCATTTTTATGTTTACATTATTTTTAACTTGCATTTTAGGTTTATTTTTAGGCCCATTTTAGTTTTTATTTATTTCCAAATAATAATTTTAGTGCTTCAACTTATTTATTTTTTTATGTGATGATATGTATATTTTATTTTATTTCGGCTTCATTTCAGGTAACAAAAATGTTTTTAATATTTTTGGTTAATGATAATAACCCTGATTTGTATGCATTGCATGAGAATTTGGAGGTTAAATGCACTTAATTGCAATGAAAATAGCTTTCCAACACAAAAACTCATACTGGCTTAAAGTTGTTTGTATGTTAAATATAAAAATGTTATTTAATGCATTTATATGTTCATATATGCATTTGATATGGTTGGTGAGATTCACTCTCTCTGTGTGTGTGTGTGTGTGTGTGTGTGTGTGTGTGTGTCTGTGCGCGCGCAGGATCCCTCCCTGCCCTGAGGGAAGTCAGAGGGGGAGGGTAACGAAGTGTCACACCCAGACAAACATGCCTGCTGTGGGCCGAGAGAGAGGGAGAGAGTGGGAGAGAGAGAGAGAGAGAGAGAGAGAGAGAGCGAGAGAGAGAGAGAGAGAGAGAGAGAGAGCGAGAGAGAG